AGCCACTTCTTCTTTTAGGTAAAGAGCAGTAGCACCCATACATAGCTAACTTATTTTTTGAGTTGCTAGGAGCAACCCACAAAGACTTACTTTGGAAAGAAAAGTAAAATACCTAATATAAGCCTATGCGTTGTTACGGCCATTGTGTGATTGAGGAATCACACTTACATGTGTAGATGCTAAAAACATACTCACTGTTCTGCAGTGAACTGCTTTTGTAAGCTGTCTTGGCAAGGGCTAGTGTCATTTCTCATTTTTTGAGTTGCTAGGAGCAACCCACAAAGACTTACTTTGGAAAGAAAAGTAAAATACCTAATATAAGCCTATGCGTTGTTACGGCCATTGTGTGATTGAGGAATCACACTTACATGTGTAGATGCTAAAAACATACTCACTGTTCTGCAGTGAACTGCTTTTGTAAGCTGTCTTGGCAAGGGCTAGTGTCATTTCTCAGTTGGTTGCTCATAACTGACTTTAAACTTTATTTGCATGGACAGCAAAGCATGATCTACATCCTAACCTCCTGTTTGTACTGCTGCTCTATGTCTTGCATCTTGACTAGCTTGGCTGAGATTTTTGTGTACAAAGAATACCCCATATAACCCATTTACATCTAGCAACTCGAACAAAAATGCTTTATCACAGAAATGCAGCATTTAGGGCCCAACCCAACTCTCACTGAGGTCCCTAGAAAGATTCCCACTGACTTTGGTGGGAGGCAAATCAAGCCCATAATGGCAAAGACATGGGTATCAATGTAACAGGGAAGACTTATTCGTTCCCCACAAGTCATTATCAATCATCCATAACAGTTACTAGCAATGGTTAGAGGAAATAACCTGAAGAACGTGTTTTCCAACCTTGATCTGGAAAAGGGGAAGAAGACAGATACCCCTCCACCACTAAAAAAGGCTGTTTCTCACAAAGACCTGTCTCCTTTATTGTACTGAGAAATAAATAACAAGGGGAATTGTGGCTCTGACTTGAGCTGAAATACTAAGTCACATAAGAGAAAAAACTATTTTCCCCTTAACTCCCTTTATTTCCATCCTTTGGGGATGACAGCCGCAGGCTGCTGGATTCCCTGATCTGAGCACATCCAGGAGAATGGAATGAACTCCAAATGTACTCCCTCTAAACACGGCCATTGGGAGTTTGCCCCGTTGGTTTGTTTCCTATGTGTTTGGGTGCAAAATAGAGAGCGAGTAAGCATTACACTTCTAATGAGGGAAATGTGTTCCTTGGGCCACAATAAATGCATCTTACTGTTTCATCTGAACAGTGGGTTGTGCCCACAAAAGCTCATGGTCCTATATCGATATATCATATCATCTATAGATATATTGTTAGTCTCTAAGGTGCTACAGGACTATTTGCATCTTTGTGGTTTAGCTAGAGAGTTGGTAGAAAATGAGGATGAGAGCATGAAAATAGTTTTATTTTGTGTGTGTGGGGAGGGGGGGGGAAGTTGGTTCAAATTGTAGAAGAGAATTTCCACTGCAGTTTAGAAATGTGGAGGCACGAAATACAAAGCCCTCACCCAACCCTTAGCTCTGCCCGTCCATCTGTTTCCCTTGGCATCTGTACCATCCATATTACGGGAGGTGAGGAGGCGGGGAAAAAATGCACCTTAAAATGTTCTGTCTTACCTTCAAGCCATACGACTCCCTGGAGCAGAGACGGCAACTCTTCTTGCCCTGTATATCCACAACAGCCCCACTCTCCGCCGTGGCGTCTCCCACCCTTGTCAGGGCGTCCCCACAGACTTTTCCATCTCCAGGGGCACCTCTCCTGAGCGCGCACACGCGCGAGTGTTACCCCAACGCGCCCCACGTGCTGCTCCTGCCCAGTCAGCAAGGAGCCGGCGCTGCAGGGGGTCCGGTTTGGGGGAAGCTGCTCTGCGGCCGGGGGGCTGAGCAGGGCTCAGGGACGCGCTTGGCAAAGGCGTTTCCAGCAGCCCTTTGGCAGCAAGCCCTCAGGACTTGGGGTCAGCTCCTGCGCCGGGACCCGGGGGATCTTCTCTCCGGCGCGTTCTGCTGCTGGCGGCCAGAGGCAAAGTTTCTTC